GTAGTTCATACAAATTATTTGTCTTTAAAATTTGACATTCTCTTTACTTAAGAGCAGCTTGATACTTTGTGTTCTCTTTACTTAAGGATAGCTTAGCATGTAGTATTGAACAACGTGCTAAAACTAAATGATTCTTACAATACCGTTAGGCTGCTTTGCAGGCAAGTACATGCAGCCAGTTGACATCTTTTCTGCCTGCGTATTTGCTCCAATTGCTTCTAGAAGACTTGACTATAACTTACCTTTACCTGTCCGGAAAGGGTAGGCTTTAGAGGAACAATCTTATTCACTTCAGGAGTATTGGAAAGATCAATCAGAGGCCTACTTTCACATTCCAAAGCGTGAGGGAGGGATTTATCTATTCCAAAATCTAATAGTAAGGCCTTAAAAAAGATAAATAAAAACATTGAGGCTTTTTCCTCTGTTCACCAATAAGTCGGTTTAATCTGTAAAACTAAAAATCACAGGACATGTTTGGTTTACAGATTGGGTACTTTTTCTTGCAGGATTGTTTGCATACAGTGTATGTAACTCAGTTTTTGTTCCACCAGTGGCTAGTATCACAAGTACAGTAAGCACAGTGAGTTCCTAGGAACATAAAACACTAACATTTAAAGCTAGAATCAAGTCAAATTTAAAAACAGTGTACTATATTAATTTACCAATTATTGCACAATGTTATTTTGCCATGTAAACATTTCTACAGAGCTCCAAAGCTTTAGCTACGCTTTCATCTGGTTTAGTTATTTTATAGACACATTAAGCAATTCTGTAACTGTTACCCCAAGTATGTGTATGTGTATGATTAAGTAGGCTAATAAAAGAAACAAACTAATGCAATAATATACCACAGAATCACAGATCGGTTGAGGTTGGAACAGACCTCTGGCGATCATCTAGCTCAACGCCCCTGCTCAAGCAGGGTCACATAGAGCATATTGCCCAGGATTGTGTCCAGATGGCTTTTAAATACCTCCAGGGAAGGAGACTCCACTACCTCTCTGGGCAACCTGTTCCCTGAGTTTTTTCCCCCCTCATGTTCAGACAGAACTTCCTGTTTCCTGAAAGGTTCCTGGAACTTCCTGTTTCAGTTTGTACCTGTTGCCTCTCATCCTATCGCTGGGCACCACTGAGAAGAGTCTGGCCCCATCCTCTTGACACGCTCCCTTCAGATACTTGTACACATTGATCAGATCCCCGCTGAGCCTTCTCTTCTCCAGGCTGAACAGGCCCAGCTCTCAGTCTCTCCCCATATGAGAGATGCTCTAGTCCCTTAATCATCTTAGCAGCCCTCTGCTGGACTAGCTCCAGGAGCTCCATGTCTCTCTTGTACTGGGAAGCCCAGCACTGGACACAGTACTCCAGGTGCGGCCTCACCAGGGCTGAGTACAGGGGGAAGACCACCTCTGTCGACCTGCTGGTAACACTCTTCCGACTTACTGTACCCCTCTTCCGACTTACTGTACCCCAGGATCCCATTGGCCTTTTTGGCCCCAAGGGCACATTGCTGACTCATGGTCAGCTTGTCTACCAGGACCTTCTCTGCAGAGCTGCTTTCCAGCAGGTCAGCCCCCAAATATAAAGTAATTCATCTAGAGGGTTAATTCTGTACATGAATATACAGAAATAAATAGCCAGTGTGAGAGACTAATAAGCTAACAATTCTATTCTTTTCCCGTAATGCCTGTATAGTCCTAGTTTTCAGCCTGCAGCCAGCTTGGGAGAGGAGAAGATAAAATATTTGCTGGACTAAGTCTGTGAAAGTTAATTTATATTGTCACATGGGCTTTTGGTTTTAATCCTCATTCATTGTATTTTATATTACGTATATAATATATCTTTGAGTTTCTCTACAGCAGTTCATTTTTTCCAGAAGAGAGCTGACTGCATGGCTGCAAAAGGAACTGCTTTATGACATTGCTTTTCTAATTGAATCCATAAGGATTTCACAGCAAACGTCCAGAACAGGAAGTTTAATACAAAAAAAAAAATCGAGCAACTATGTGACTGTTCAACTTTGAGGCTAGGATCTAGCAGAAATGCAACAAAGAGTTCAGTACTAAAAATAGGCACTAGAGGGCGCATACTTAGTGCTAACCTATTTCAGCTAATTGCATGTACTGAAGTATTTTCTGCTCATCCCTCAATTTGAAATATTCATATTTTCAAGCAGTTCACTTAGCTGTGTAGAAAACTGGAATTTCTTCTCTTACCTCATTAGTGTGTCTCTCATCAGCCACCTGATTTTGTACTCCAGCCTCTTTTAATTCACTTTCTACTATTTCTGTAGTCTTTCCTGGTGAAAAGTCAAGTGTAAGAGGTAGCACAGGCGGAGGAGATATATCATCTTCTGAAGATATCTGAGTCTTAGTCTCTCGCATCTGCTTAGAACTGGAGAAAAGAATATTGGCAGTAATTGAGTGCTTTAAACAGCATGAACCATTAAAGACAGACGAGCCAAAGTTAGACAAAAAGCTACAATGCGCTAACCTCATTTTCCTCTTATTTCCTTTTTGCCCCAAGTCTTAAAGATTAAAAGGCTTCCCATATCCTGATCTAAAAGCACACTAGTTACCTGCAGAATATCTGCATGTGTAGTCTATACGCTTATTGCAGCATGAAAAGAAATAAGCTAATGATTCCAGGGTTGAGAAGTATTTAATTTTAAATTGACATACATATGTGGCTTTTTTTTTCCCCCAGACTTAAGAAGAAACTAGCAGACTAGTATTGATATTTGATATTACTGAAAAGTGATTGATATCACTTCAATCCCAGCTGAGAGTAAGTACAGGGACCAGCTAGAAGAGCAGGAGCTGAAAACTTTTCAGTATGATATTAAAGTCATTGTGAAGAGTGCAGTTTTGCTTCCCTGAAAGTAAAGAATATTTTGGACATTTAGCTTAATTAACATCTAGAACCTACTTCCTAGGTATGCATCATACCTGACTTAATACTATTGATCATTATGTATAAGCATCTTATAGTTATTTTCTGGCAACCTTCCATAGACCTCCACAAGCCCTTAGACAAGCATGCATATGTACATATGGTGCTTGTGAAAATATGCTGGGCTGATTATATGAAGGAGGCAGCATTCTCTCCACAAAAAATTTACAGACAGTTAACAGCATAGGATTCCCCCACTGTACAAGATATTATTTCAAATGAAACATAGGTAAAGCTGCTCAGTTCAGTCAACCTTTAACAAAGTATCACTTCACAGAAGCACCGGCAACAGCATAAAACATAGTTAAGGGCAGTAATACTGATTTTAACGAGCTACTTCCCCTCAAAAGGCAATAGTAGAACAATACTGGCTCCAAACCTGTCTCAGTGTTTAGTCAGAGCGTCAGATACAATTTAAGCTGCACAATAGTTAAAGAAAGGGAAGTTATCTCTCATAGGAAGCGAGTTCTTTAATGTCAGATGTAGACTCATCTTAATACAGCTTTAGTATTTTGTTAGTTACAACACATAAATCCGCACTGAAAACCTCTACAGTATCTAAATGCTCAAATGTTCCATGCTAACATTTAGGCAAAGTCCTTAAAACTTTAAAGTGTCTATCAAATTTCGTTTAAACCAGTTTGCCTACAATACTCATTTCATTTTTGGGGTTCTGCCTTACCCAGCTGTAAGAGCCTTTTTGGTAGAAAGGCTGAAACTTTGGCGAACGGATGCAAGATGTGGAGAAACTGCCATTCTTGGCGCAGTTCTAGGAGTCACTGCTGGAAATCCTGAGAGACGATGGATAGGGGTAGGTAAGGCAGACCGTTTTAAACTGGCAGGAGTCACTGAAACAGATCGCTCACGAAAACAAGCATTCTGAGAGACCCCATCTTCTGAATGTTTCACAGGAGTGCTGACTGCCATGGCACTATAAGAGGAACATGAAACCTGCATTAACCAAAATCTTCTAGGAAAAATACTATTCCAACAATTCCATCAGACAGTAGAGGTCAGTTTGCCTTTGGTCAAAAATGGAATGGTGTTCATCGAGTTGATCCTAATAGCATAGTAGGGGCTTTAACTTCATAAAAAGTTATTTTTGTGCCATGAATGATCCTGGTCTGTTTAGCGCTGCAAAGAATATTTTCTTCTGAATTTTTTTTTTTTTTTTTTTTTTTTTAAATCACTCCTGATAGGCATTAACACTGCTTAAACTGCAGAAAAGCAGCCAGCTTGCAAACCGTGATTTGAGTTTTCAGAACTAGGGAAGAACATATACTAGGATTAAGGGGAACTGGAAGTCTTCAGGGACTAGAAGTCTTCAGGAACCAGAGAAACTAATTTTCAAGGAAGTTATAACTTTTAAAGATTGTTGTAACAACCAGCCATGTCACACTCAAAAGAAAAATAGGCCTCAGTATATTCAACTTTCAGTTACGCCCTACCTTCCAAGCGTGCCACAAAATGTTAATCCGAGGGACGATGTTGCTTTTGGTGCCGATTTGTCTGGTGTTGACTCTGAAGAGAAACATATCATTAGTGTTGTTACAGTTAGTAATGTCCACTCAGTCATTTTACAACTACAGGTCCCTTCCAGTTAAAATACTCATTCCTTTCAAGAGCTGGACAGAAGTTTAATAAAACAAGTGACGAGCATTCGAGGAAACATTTGATTTTACTAGCCAAATTATCAGGAGATAGGTCATGTAAAGTATGTGCTTACCTCCACCTTTCACTGAAATCTTAACTTGACTTGTAGGAACAGACAGAACTCTAGTCTTGGGCTTGGGGCACAAGTTTCCTTTTGTTGTACTTCCATCTTTATTCTGCTGACACAGCTTCTGCAGATTGGGAACAGAACTAAGCCTCTGAATTCCACTGCCTACAGCCTCAGATGACGTTGCAGAAGCTGAAGATTTAGCTAAGCTTACAGCACTAGATATTTTCGGAGTACTAGCTGATCTTGCTTGCTTGCCAGATCTCTCAGCATTGGCGGCCTGCAGAGATGACACTCTGGTAGGCTTGACCAGGCCCAGCCTATTTGTATTAGATGAAAGTTTAGAACCACCCACAGAAGCTTTTGAAGACGCACTTGATTTACCTGAAAGAGAAAACGAAGTTACATTTCTAAGTAATTGCTTATCATTAAGCATTTGAATAAGCAAATAACTAAGCTCACACAAGAAATACAGAAAGCAGCAATTTACAGCTGAACTTTAAGGAGAACATACAAACTACTGAAAATTCACTCCCTAAATTCTCAGCAATTCTGCCTGTTTTTGGCAATCCCCTCACCTACACACTGAATTACTACAGTCAAAAAAAAGAAAACTCTTCAAGTTGCACTCTCAGTCTGAATTTTCTCCTAGCACAGTTGGCTTTCTTTCCTTAAACTGGGATTTAAGGGGATAATAGCTCAAATCACGCTGATGATCAGCATATGCTGATCTACCACGTAAGGGCTTTTCTCAATTTTCAGTACGGTTCTTATTTTTAGTCAGTTTGCAGTTACTTTCATTAGTAGCATTAATCTTGACTAGGCACTTTTTCCTATTGTATAAAAAATTATTACTGCGCTTCAACTTTTATTGACACCTCATTAGGCCCTGTCCAGAAACAAGTACACAATAAAAACGTGGAGTAAATTAGTATCTTGGTAGACATGCAAGAACTACGATGCCTACATCTGCCAGTGCTTTAGAAGACGATTTTCCTGACCCTTTGAGGCTTACTGAAAGGGTCAAATGGATGTCTGTATCACACTATAACCCCCTTAGCTATATTCCAGTATCTCCCCATATTGAGTTTGTTAATCTGTTTGAGTAAAACCCATCCTTTTAATAGGCTTACAGAAAGACAGAATTTGGAGACAGGCTTTCCATCTTCCTTCTGTAGTTCAGTGGGGTTGTTTGTTTTGAAATAAGCCGAGTCAGACAAGCTCACAGCATTCAAAAGCTCACATGCTCAGCTATACCACAGGAGAGCATATATAACAAGAACACATTTCCTGAGGCATTGCTTGCTTTTTTTACTGTATTAGACCCCCTGTATGTATTACATGAATCTAGTTATTGCAAACACTAGAAATCTAAGATTTATCTTTACGCCACATATATTTATTTGGTTAGCCTGAAAAATTTATTCTTCATTCAAAACGTTTCCTGCTGTTTGCATGTGCTGGACAACATCCAAACATACTCAAACTCACCATCCAAGAGACACTTAGCTACTTTAAGATTGATTTATGGGACAAATTTGTTTTAAGTCATTACCATTTTTGTGTATGGGAGAAATGGATAAACTTGAATTCAGACTTGAGTTCACACTGGAAACTGATGACGAAGAAGAAGAAGAAGTAGTCTTTCCTGTGAGACCACTAGCAACACCAGGAAGTTTCAGATGACTTGTCATCTTCTTTAAGCCCAACTGAATCAGAAAATACAGTTAACTCACAAATAAAAAGGATTTAACCCATTCTTTTGCTATGCTTCTGTTTAACGTTGTAGTTATGTGCGCACGACTTTGAGAAGGTCTTTCCTCAGATTACCATTTAAAGAACGAATTTTCTTGGAAACACAGTTCAGGGTATCTAGGTTATTATACAGAACAAGAGATCTAGAACATTGACCGTTGCATTTATCCTTGCTACAAACTTGAGCGTGGACTTCCTGCACCCTATTTACCTTCATATGAAAAGTTATATAAGAAGGCTGAGGAAGTGACATTCTTCATCAGAAGCTGCTTCTTAAGAAAGAAATTACATATTTCAGCTAAGGGATTTCTAGCAATATTAAATATGGAGAGAAGTCAAAAGCTTCATTCAAGTACATGTGCTCCTCAGAGGTCACATTTCAGAAGGCAAGTACTAAAGGGTGTCCAATACATTGTTCAAGCTTTCTGTTAACTGCAAACTTATTACATTCTTGGTAGATAAACACCATTCACACAGCACATACCACAGCTCTGTGCTACTTTTCACAACTGTAGGGCTATGTAGTCATGTGAGGGTGAACAGGTACATTCTGGTAAGTATGCCACCACTTTTACAGAAAGGCAGACTACATGACAGCCACTTCCCATTAGTGTAGGTGCAGGCCGAACCTAACGCTATAAGTTCCACTTGCCTCCCACAGTCTCCTGCTATGTAGCACGTGACCTCCTCTTCCCCTTGCTTTTTTAGCACCACCACAGCATCTAAAATAAGTATAACCCATAAGTATAAGCCATACTGCAGAAGAATAATGGCATACAGGGGTAAGACCACTTGCTGTTGATGCAACTGCTAACAGAGATCTTGCTATTTTGTGGACTACAACTCTATCTAGGTTGCTAGTGGTGCTGGCTCAGAATGTAGGCATGATTTGCCTCCTCCAAATGACCTACTCAGAGGGATTCATTGCCTCCCCTGTTCACAGAGTCCCCTCCATTCCTGTAAATACAGTGACAAGTGGCATGCAGCATAAAAGTACGTGTCTGAAGGTTCAAAACCATTAAGATAGCTATAGGTATTCCGACTTCATGTAATGGCAACCTTTTCACATCGTATAGTGGTTAGCTACGGGCATCCAAAAATGTCTGGTTCTTGCAGAAAACGACAAATCACTTCTCTGCAGCTAGTGCTTAAACAATGTAAAAGCAATACTTGTTAACCCACCACATGTTATGTAGTAGTTCTTAAACATCTTTTTGCTTCAGACGTGGAAACACATTCAAGAACTGCAGTTGCAGAACAACTTTCTGCTGAATGCACTACACAGCAGTACAGCTTTAAATTAGAAAGTAAACTATGTTCAGTTTTCTCCTTTTACAGAAATGTTACCAAGATTTTCATATAAAAATTCTTGCCTTTACCTTACTTGGTGCAGGAAGGGCTCTTTTGTCTTGCACTGAGGAACTGCCACTGAATGAAGACTCAAAGACATCTGAAGCAGCACTTGATTTATCAGAAATAAAATCTTCAGATGATCCCATGCTATTCAAGTCTCTTTTTGTAGAAATGCTACTGTGTTTTCCTGGTTTGGGCTGTAACATTTTAGAACAATAGAATATTTTAGAAGCTACCAGGGTTTCCAGAAGCCACTGGAAAGTTTTTGCACAAGCTGATTTTGTTAAACTAAGACTACAGTCAATGAGGAAGCCTTTGAGCTCCAGTCAAGTCCTTGGCCTTTAGACTAAGACAGTTTAAATTTAGTCTAGTGAGGATATTTTCTATGAATTAGAATAGCCTGGAAACCAGATGATTAGAAGTCAACCTAAGGACAACTCTGCAACAACAGCTCATCAGCACAACTTTCAAATAATTATGTTCACTGACATCCTTAAAACTATGAGAGCTACTTCTAATGCATATTCTTTTGCTTTATTCTAACCTTTCAAAGACGAGGAATTACAATATTTAACTGTATCATCCAAATCTGTCTACTTAGACTGGTAGGGGGTTAGAATTAACCCCTGCTAGTTAAGCACTCAGTCTGTGCCTTGCCTTATAGCATAGCACCCCACATGAAGAAAAAATTAATGTCAAAAATGAACATTTCTTTAGATGATGGTTCCCAAGGATCCAATATCACATTTTTCAGTAATATCGGGAGTACACACTGAAGACTAAGTCATAAGGGGTAAAACAATAAAAGGTAGAAGATATTCTAAGAGCAACAATTTGTACACACAAGGTCACTAATACAAACTGATGTTTCCCTGCTATCTTAGAACCCGTTTTCAGTTTGTCACACAGCCACATCTTAAATTATATACAGCTAATCAACCCTGTCCAGAATTGGGAGCAAGGTATGGACAGAACCAGAACTAAAAGAATTTCCTATCAAAATAATTGTGCCTTTTTTTCTACCTCACCTCTTTTGAGAAGAGTAAACAAAGCCAGTTTTGCAAAGTAAGTCACTAAGAACACTGCAGTGATTTTACCAGCTTAAAAAAAAAAAAAAGACACTGAATCACAAGCTGAGAGTGACGACACTAACAAAAAGGAAAATAATGGAAGAGAAATTTGTCTGCAGATGCTCTACATTGTCATAATAGCCTAGACAACCGCTATACCACGGTATCTGCCTTGATTTTCTTTGCACTTGGCAGCCCTTTAAATGTACTTTTTCCTGCTTGAGGATCTTAAGAGGCAGAGAAACATCAGAAGATTAAAGTACACCAATAAAAGCTTGTAGACAGTTTTAAAATTCCTGTAACTCACAAAGGCCCTGTTTAAAGAAAACACTGTTATACAAGAAGCTGTCTTTACCTTTTCTACAGTCAACAAGTTGTTTTTTTCAAGAGTAGAGCAAGTCTTTGCCATTTGCAGTTTGCCAGTTGCCTTCTTATTTCTTTCCTTAATTTTCTGGTCTCGAGTCAGAGGCGAGCCAGCAATTTTGGGAGATATACAAATTTTAACAGGGCTTCTGTTTGGTGGAGTATGAGGAGCATGTGTTTTGACATCTGACAAAGGTTTATTTGATTCCTTCTGAAAAGGAGGTGGCAGTTGACAGACTGGACTCTCCGACACACAGTATGTCTCCCTTTTAATAGACCTGGGGCTTTTTTCCATATTTTTGTTTCTCAGTATTTTCAGTTTTGACTTGGAGTCTTCCACAAATTTTTCTATAACCTTGTTTTCTTGTTCTTCTGACTGGCTTACATTACTCTGTTCATTCTTATTTCCAGTCTCTATCTGCAGTGCTAACAAATTAGCCTCTTTGAAAATTTCAACATATTTCTCTCCTGTAAGTGGGCTCCACATAAGTTTATCATCAGAAAGAGATATGTTTTTTTCAGCACTTCTTGTTCCTTCAATGCTGACAGCAATACACTTTTCTTTGTGTCCCAGAGGTCCAACAAAAACTTCATCTTCATTTCCACTGTGAAGAAAAATAAGTCAGTCAAGAGCTTAAGTTACTGGCATTTTAAAGAGGCACTTACCTGCAGACACTTAACTCACCTTGCAGGAGACAGTGAAAGGTCAAAATCAAACTTTTCATCAGTCAGAAGAGGAAAGTCTGAAACTACAATAATTCCATTAGGATTTTGTCACACTGACAATTTGCAATAATTTGTACTGCATTATGCTTTGATAATTTGGTGAGGCTAATGTCAGATGGCAAACAAAGTTGTATTATTGAGTTTAAATAGCTAAAATAAAACAGGCTTGTAGCATTTATTAGTTCAAAGAAATTACAAAGATACAGCTAGGAGTACGATCACAACTGTGACAGATGACTAAATATCATGAAAGATATAGACACGAGATACTAATTTCTAAGCATCCATAATAGGAACTTGGCATCTGACAGTGGGAAGCAGCATCAGCAGCCTCCAACCAAGAAAAGTGAGAATATATGAGGAGCTGCATGACAAGGCAGTTGCTGGTTTTTTCCGGGCTCAGGCCACTAAAGGATATTAACAGGAGGCAGTACGAAAAATTAGGGTTTTTTTGTTAACTAATCTATACACTAAACATTAATTGAATCAGCAGCAAACAGATAACGAAACGAGAGGAGCTCAGACTAGGTATATAGAAGAGAGGTTGATGACCTCACGTCACTGCTACACATGCTCTAACAAAAGTGCTCTGCAAGCTCTTGAGGAGTCATTGAGGTAGGCAACAGCAGTCCATCCAAAGGAGGAAGCACACAGATCAAATTATAAAGCAGATACAAAAAGATTTACTGATCTCAAACATCTTAATTTTTAATACGGGATACACCAGCTAGAGAGTATCTCAACGCTTTCCACCTACCGTTGCTCAGGCGAATACCCAGTTTTTCTTCAATGATGTGACTTGAGCAACGTGCTGCCTTTTCTTTTCCTTCCTCCATAGTATCTGAAAAATAGAGAATTACCTATGTGGCAGGTTTAAAAAAAAACAGCAATAACATCACTGAGAATTGTATGATGTTAGCAAATTAAGAAGCACGTAATTTTTGAATGCTTTGAACGTCTTTGAAGAAGAATTTCAGTGACAGCCTCACAAATAGGCAATTTATGAAAAGTTACAGAAATCTCACTGTACTCTCTTCAAACACAGCATTGAAGAACCCAAGACTACTTATATGAAAAGCGTTGTAAACTCTGTGAAGCGCCTTCAAATGCAGCACTGGTGTCTAGGATTCCCGAAATTCCTTAATGTGACATCTAATCATGACATTCAGTAACTCAATCCCTCACATGAATACAGCTTCTAAGGGCAGCCTAGCCAGACATGTGTACCAGAGGGCTGTCATCCCACATAGTCAAAAAAAAGAAAAAAAAAAAGAAAAAAAGCTTTTTACAGCCCTATTTTAAAAGCAGCATAACCGGGACTCAGCACAACCCCCCGCACTAAAGGAAACGCATGCTCTGATTAACACGACACCTTCCACTTCTGGACAGAAACCGCAACCTTTGGCGGAACAAAAGCGGACTCGCACAGAATCACCTCAAAACGTTGCTTATTCAAGAGCGAGGCAGGGGATGAACTCGCCTGACTCGGCTCGACCGCCTGACGGCCC